GGGGTTGCAGTTTAAGGGTGCTGCTGAGGCACTGCATTACCTTGGTGTGGAGTTCTGCCCGCTCTGTTTCTTTCTGGTAACTGTCTGGGGTAAAGGGTGGAGTCTCTGAACCCAGTGTGCAAGAATGCCACAGTTTCTGGGAGTCAGAGCAGCTGGTGTCCTGCTGGAAAAGCATTTCTCTTTCACGTAACTGATCTTCATTGCAAACTGTTCTTACGTCAGTCCTCCATGCCTAATGTTAACTCCCTTCCATCGTGTGTCACACAGCTGAGCACAGACAGTGCCTCAAAAGAATACAAGTGAAAGTGAGCATATTATCTCAGTGGCATTGCTGTGTCTGTGTGGCAAGAGCATTCTGACAGAACAAGAAGTCTAGGCAGAAAGGTAAACTTGTCCCCCAAATTTGGCCAACACAGAGACATTTGTCTGTTTCATAAATACTGTAGCATGAAGCAGCCTTCCTACACCCCACTTCTGTTCAATAAGGTACTCTCTTCCTAGATAGAGGCCAAAGTTATGCTCTATATGGGAAATTCTTCCTTCATTTCCAAAATGGAGCTGGTGTCCACTGAGGAAAAGAAGAGAGAAATCTAAAAATGATGTCTGTATGTTCACCGGGAACACTGTATGTACACATAGGCAAACAAAGCACACAGTTTAGTATACATGCTTCATATCATATATGCTGATTCTTTGTATGTTCAAAATCATCAAAGAGCTAGCTGGTGTTGTCTACATTAGTGTGACATTCCAGGAGTACTGGACATGAGATTATAGATTTTATATTAGGATGAAGACCCATGCCTCTACCTTCTTGTCTTAGGGTCACTGTACTTCAATATCCAGAATTGAAATCAGCATCTTTCTTAACTCTTCAGATATACTATCCTCCCACCTCCGCCGGGGCCTTTGCACATATTTTATCTTCTTATTTAATAATTAATCCAGCCTCTTTTTAAAATCTTGGATCAAAGTTCACTTACTTGAGGGAGGCTTTCTCTGATGTCACCAAGACTGATCTTACTAAAGCTCTTAAGCTCTCTGCACATTTTCTACAAAGTCCTTAGCATAGCTTTCAGAATGTGTTGCTATTTAATTAATTAGTGTCTCTTTGCCTTAATACATAGCAAAAGCTTTGAGAACAGGATTGTATCTGCATTAGTTTAACACAGTATATTGATTATAACACTTGTCAATTGTTGTAAGTCAATCATGGCTTATCTAAACAGTTGATCCTCTGTTACGGCTTCTTTCTGCTAGGAAGAAATTCCTGCTTAGGATCATGTATGAACTGAATTAAACACATTACTGTGCAGTGAAATGGGTCTTTGAAATTTTTAACGAATTTCTGCACACACAAAAACTGGGTTAAGATGGATTGAAAACTCGGTTGGCTTTTGCAGTCTACCCAATGAGCTCCATATGGTTGGAGCCATCCCATCCAATCCAGACGCATTTAACCACCTCACCCCGTGGTGAACACAATCATCTTCTACATTCTCTGCCTTCTGCCTCATTTAGCCATGCTGAGCACATCAAACACTGTTCAGCAGGGTGCAGTGTGGCTGTGGGCCCATAAAAATTTACAACCCTGATACCAGACAATCCAAACTGCATATATTACAGTTAGCAATACTTTGGTTAATATCTCTCTATGAAATTTAAGCCTCTTAAGCATTACAAATTTTATTAGAGTATGGACTGCTTAACTTTTTTGGAAGGCTAGGGGTCAGAGAAAGGAATGATAAAGCCTCAGCTTACTGCAATATTATCATGTCGGTATTCACCATGAAACCCATCAACCATGATTCACATCTTCCTGATTAACTAAATAGCTGGAGATGATTTATTTACATTCATGGTAGTTTTTTTCCCCAAGAACTGACATTTTAATTACCTGTATAATGAGGAAGAAAAGTGCTTAGCATTTTTAAAAGTTTGTCTGATTACTCTTTGTTGAGTATAAATATGTGCTTGGTTACTTTCTTTGAGTCAGTCAGACTTTTAGTAGGATTATTTATTTAATTTATGATATTCAAGCTGGGTATTTAGCTCAGTGGCACAAGCACCTGCTTGGTAGTGAGGTCGTGAGTTCAATCCGCAGCACCCCTCCCCCGCAAATTATGATGCTCATTCCCTGATGCAGACTGGATTGATTATTGAGTCAGGGCATAGTGCTTGGCTTATCTGTGAAATAAATTTAAAAATCAATGTAGCACAACAATTCTACAGTTCAAGAGGAGCCCTAAAAGAGGCATGGATCGTCAAAGACAGGCAGGCACAGCCGACGATTCTCCCCCTCATTATCATATTGCTTTCTTTTCCTGGAATATATCTCTATGCAGAAATTCATAATGTGATTTCATGGTTGTCACGTGTGTTAGAATAAAGAAACACTGTGAATCACTGGACTCTTGGTGACCCTCTGTCACTTCTGTCTGCATTTCAGGTTTATGAAACCCAATCTTACTTTTTATTTATTTACTTATATATTGAGACAGGGTCTTGCTGTGTAGTTTAGCCTGGCCTTGAACTCATTATGTAGCCCAAGCTGGCTTTGAACTTTCCTCCTGCCTCAGCCTCCTGAGTGTTAGGTGTGCACCACCACGCCTGGCTCCCTCAATTCTTTTCAGCTGGCACAATACTTGTACACAGTGAGGTGGTATGGCATGATAATTTGATCCATGTGTATTATGTATAATGACCAAATCTGGGCAGTTAGCATTTTCATCTCCTTATACATTTATCGTCCTTTCTATTTGGAGCCCTTGGACTTTCAGTTTCTTATAAAATGCATAATTGACTGCTACAAACTACAGGCATCCTGCCATGGTGTAGACCGGGAACTAGTGCCTCCTATTTAGCTGTATTTGGTTACTGTCATCTAACCTCCCTCCCTTTCCCCTCCTCCCCCTCCTCCAGGGTCTACTGTTGTATTCTCTACTATGAAAACGATTTTTTCTGTTTCCACATAGGAGTGAGAACATGTGCTGTTTGCTTTCTGTGCCTGACTTATTTCACTTGAATGTCTTCTGGTTCCACTTATGTTCACGCAACTCTTTGCATGCAACATAAGTGCATAATCTTTTTTTTCACACTGATGGAGATGCTTTCTTAATATGTCTGCCAATGCCCTAAAACCATAGAAGTAAGAGACTGATTGAATGTCAGGACTTTTAGAGTTCAACATTGGAAAGATGTAAACACAGAGAAAATATTACTCTTAACTTCCCTGCCGCAGGTTTGATTTTAACCTCCAAGTAGAAATGACATTTGGATAAGCATGTTTTAGGTCAGTGAGATTCTATTTATCTGTCTAGTACATGTGTACATTAGTGGTGTTTGCATTCACCTTGGAGGTTAACGCATCCACACCCTGCATCTGTGGACTGTTTCTATTCCTGCTGTCTTCTCCCCTCCTCGGATTCCCTTCCCATCTCCTCTGAGTCTGCTTCCCTGTTTCTTAACACAGCTCTTTATTCTGCCCTTTAACTTGTGTATAGTTTGGGTCTTTCATATGAGAGACACTAGGCCATATTTAGCCTCCTGCAGCTGAGTTATTTCACTGAGTGTTATCCCGCTCCACTGCTTCCCCACAGATGACTCCCATTTATCCACTGCGGCTGAGCTGAGTACCACTCCGTGCTGTGTGGGTACCACATTTCCCTATTCATTTGTCTGCTGACAGACGTGTAGGCCATGTCTGTGACTTAGCTGTTGTGAGCAGTGCTGCTGGGCAGATGGGAATGGATGCATCACTGTACTAGGCTGATATTAACTCTTCTGGGAAGATTCTGAAGAGTGGCTTAGCTAGGTAGAATGGAATTTCTAGTTTTAGTTTTTTGAGAACTCTCCATGCTGATTTCCATAGGGCTGCACTAGTTTATGTTCCCACCAACAAGAGAGAAGTGAGGTTCTTGCAGGTAGTGCTGGGGTTCTAGAGCTATGCTCAGGGTCTTCAAATCCCAGTGAAAAGCATAGTTATTTCTATTGGGGAGATAAGATGCTGAAGAATCAGGACCAGCTAGTGTAGCATTGGTATCTCTTGTTTATTTCATGTCACTTATATATTTTAGTTTCATCATTTGGCCAATAAATATTTAAAAACTATTTTTTCTTAAAGTTTCTTTGATAGACATGTTTTTCAAAGTATAGAGTCCACACGGAGAGCATTTCAAGCTACAGAGTCCATATGGTGAGCTTTTCAGTTGGGAGTATTTCGCTATTCAGCCGGTCCCCACCCTGCAGCACCTGCTGTGGTTGTGTGCAGGATGCCTTGTTCCTAGGACCTGGCCAGTGGGAAGCCCCAGGGCTCCAGCAGTTGCAGAGAGCTGTCAGTCTATCAGCCTGGCCTTGGATGCAACCTCCTGTGATGCAGCAGCCTCCGTGAGCCCTGCCTCTGGTGCTGAGCAGGCTGAGGTCGGCCTGGTGTGCCTCTGCAGGACTCTCAGGGGCCAGCCTGTGGCTCTGGGCAGTGTGACTCCTTTGTCCCTGAGGGCCCAGCAGGCACCACTAGCTGCTCATGTGTGGCCTTCCCTCAGCACCTGGCAATGCCAAGCAGACCAACTCAGGTTTAGCGTACCCACTGCATACCCATCAGGCTTTAGTCAGGGAGAGCTGGAACCATGTTCATCTCTTGTGAACCTTTAAGCTGAGGTTTTATTGTAGTTGATTGGAAAAAATCAATTTGAACTCAGAAGAATTCTGCTCCTTTATTTAAACAGAATAAACCAAAGCATTGCACGCTTGATTTTAAAGTGAACAAGGAAGAAGCTGAATCCTGATAAAACTACATCAAGGGACAGCGCACGGCCTGTGACATCTGTAGGACATTACCCCATCTCCTCACAAATGCTGGCAAATTATAATTTTTCTGAATCATGGATGAAATCTTAAAATAAAATTTTGTGGTAATTATTTATGAGTTTTTAAACAGAAAAAAATCATATTGGTGTGTCGATGTCCACTCCCGGCCGGCAGGAAGGACACACGACAAAGTCTGGCAGTGGACAACCTTTTCTTTTTATTTTCCTTCTCCGTACAGCCTGCCCTGGGTTCTCCCAGCTGAAGCCTCCTCTGGTCCGCTCCCCGCGGCTCCTTTTGTGCTTCAGTCTGCCCCAAAGCCTCTACCGGTCCGCTCTCCGCGGCTCCTTTTGGGCTTTTACTTCTGGGCTTCTACCTGGCTTCTTCTTCCGCCCAGGGGTGGCACCGGTATATATACGGGTACAGTGTCCAATCATGTTAAAGTAAGCAAGGCAAGCTGATTGGCTAACATCATCAGTTGCCAGGCAGACTATATTGTTGAGCGGGTTGTTTACGCGGTAAGCAGGAAACTAACATATTCGATGGGAGGGGTAATCTACCTCAGGCTTTGCTCTTTACCACAGGCCGCACGTCCGCCGCGCAAGGCGAGCTATCACAGACGCGGCTCCCAACATCTCCCCCTATTTTATTTTTTATGAATGTGCGCATCGTAGCCCTTCCTGGACTGGGTGCAGAGGCTTATGCCCTATGTGTAGGTCCACCGTAGGTCCTTGGCTTAGACCCTGGTTGGCCATGCCATGGTCTGCCAAGGCCCTGAGGCCCTCGTCCTTTTTCTAGGGCCAGGCACAAACTGGACGGAACCTGGATGCACACAAGCTTGCACTCATTTCCTCTCCGTAAAGAAATCCCCTCGGAGAGAAATTTAGACCTGGGCAGCATCTAACAGTCCAGCGGCTTACGTGCAGGATGGGGTAGGGCCTGGCTTAGGTCGAGTCGTGCTGGGGAGGCACGCTCTTACCCGTCATTGACTCACCTACCCTGCTGTGTATTGTCACCTTATGGAGGAGAATGAGGGATGCCCGCCATATCTAGACTCGGTCGTGGGCCAATTGAGCAAGCCATGCATATGCCTGAGGATCTTCTTGTCCATTTCGGGCTACCGCTATTTCTATTCATCTTATTGGTTGGTCTGTGATGGATCTCCAGTAGGGCAGGTCTGATCTTCAGTCGAGGGCTTTGTTGCCCGTGTCAGTCTCTCTGGTATCCACAGTGGTTCTCGTCCCGGTTCCTGTGGGAAAACACAAACCGCGCCTCGGTTCCAGCTGACCACTGGATCCGGGCCCATCCATTGTCATGCCATAGATAACCGCGCCTTTGGAGGCAGGCCTTGGCTTACTCCCCCTTTTTGTTTTTTATTTTTTATTTTTTATTTTTATCTTTTTCGTTTTTTTTTTTTTTTTTTTTTTTTTTTTTATTGGTACCAGGGATCGAACTGGCGATTGCCTGCTTACAAGGCAGGCGCTTATGCCGCTAAGCTAAATCCCCAGCTCCCATTTCCTCGACCGGCGTTTTTCTCAGCCTGCTCGGCAGAGAACTCTGTGTACCAGGCTCGCCAATCCAGGTAACTGCCCGAGGGCAGACACGCCTTTGCCAGCTGAATCCAGTCCGCGGGGGTGAGGGGCCCAGAAGACAGATTCTCCAGCATGGCAATGGTGTAAGGCGCAGTCGGCCCAAAGGTTGTAACTGCATTTTTAAGTTCTCTAATCTGCTTTATCTCAAAAGGCTCCCATACATTGCGTCCCTGGCCCATAGCTACTTGTACAGGAAATATCCCGTAGGGGCCACTATCTATCCCAGGTGGATGTACCTCATGAGACAAGCGTCCCCCCTGCCAAAGCCGCCTGTAAAAATACCGACCCGCCGGCGGCGGAGCATAAGACAGCGGCCGTGATTGGGCGGAAAATGGGGGCCCGTGCATCACTTCCTGTTCTGGCGAAAGGGGAGAGAGCTCCCAGGCGGCCGCCTCGTGGCGAGGAATCGCCTCCGGAAACGGCCCCCAAGGTGGGGCGGAAGGCTTCGCCTCCCTCTCGCGCCGGGGAGCGCTCAGGAGCTCTCTACTCCTCCGCAGACCAGGTTGAGCAGAGCGCAATTCGCGGGGCAACGCTGGAAAAGAACCCTGCGACTCCTTATTGAGCGATTTAGGCTCCTGACAGCTGGTCTCTTTGGCCTCCTTGCCATTCAACTTTCCCTCGTCCTCGGAGTCAGACGACTCCGAGGCTAGAGCCCCGTCCTCCTCCTTAGCATCCTTGTTCCCCTTGACGGACCCCTCTCGGGAGCTCCCTGACTGGGCCTGCTCAGATACCCTGCGTACTTTTGTAAGCTCTTGAGAGCTTTCTCCACAACCACCCTCGCTCTTAGTGTTGCTACCTAACATGTTTCCCATCTTTTAATATGTTACTCACCGCGTGAGGCCCAAGGAATCCGCCACTTACGCGTGAGCCTGAGGGGAGTCTAAAAGCCCTGTAGGTGCGCGCCACCCAGAGCCCAGGCTTATCCCCAACTCACCTGTCTCGCAGCTCTGTACTGGAGCGTTGTCCACTTCCACGTCTCGGGGGTGATCAGTCCCCGGGCGGGCCTCCAAATGTCGATGTCCACTCCCGGCCGGCAGGAAGGACACACGACAAAGTCTGGCAGTGGACAACCTTTTCTTTTTATTTTCCTTCTCCGTACAGCCTGCCCTGGGTTCTCCCAGCTGAAGCCTCCTCTGGTCCGCTCCCCGCGGCTCCTTTTGTGCTTCAGTCTGCCCCAAAGCCTCTACCGGTCCGCTCTCCGCGGCTCCTTTTGGGCTTTTACTTCTGGGCTTCTACCTGGCTTCTTCTTCCGCCCAGGGGTGGCACCGGTATATATACGGGTACAGTGTCCAATCATGTTAAAGTAAGCAAGGCAAGCTGATTGGCTAACATCATCAGTTGCCAGGCAGACTATATTGTTGAGCGGGTTGTTTACGCGGTAAGCAGGAAACTAACATATTCGATGGGAGGGGTAATCTACCTCAGGCTTTGCTCTTTACCACAGGCCGCACGTCCGCCGCGCAAGGCGAGCTATCACAGACGCGGCTCCCAACATTGGTGATAATAGTGAAGGCTCTTTTTCTTCCTCAAAGCCATTATAATCATTGTCTTCTCAAAGACAATCACTACCAGGAAATTATAATACATTTTTCTGGTCTGTCTGTTTAAAAAAATGTTTAAACAGCTTGTAGGCAGTATTATTCTGAATGTTTTAAAAGGTTTATGTGAGCTGTATTATATTATATGTTACATTTTACAGTTTGCTTTGAAAACTCTCCTTGTTCATTCATTCTGTACACACAGTGGACTCTCCCTATCTGTAGTGTCAGCCGACTACTGATGGAAAATGTAATTAGATCTGTAATCCTTGCATCTGTACTAAGTCTATGCAGACTTTTTTCCTTGTTATTATTCCCTAAACAATACAGTATAACAACTATTTACACATCATGCACACTGGATTAGATAGTCTAGGAATGACTGAAAGTAGACAAGTGAATGTGGGTAAGTTAAATGCAAATGTTATGCATTTTATGCAAAAGACTTGAGCATCCTCAGTTCTGGTATGTGAGCAGGCCCTGGGCCCAGTCCCCACGGATCCTGAGAAGCAGCTGCATTTTTGAGTCCATAGTGCTTTGCGTATTTGTAGTGTTAAGCCTACAGGTTGACAAAAAGTAAAAGCTAATCTCCGTTTGTGGTTTATATGTTAATCACAGAGAGAGAGACAGTCAGACAGACAGACACAGTCATAAATGCGCATTGTGTCAGATGCTGAGCATATTATACAGAGAGAACATGCGGGATATGGGAATGCAGAGGATGAAGCCAGGCAGGTCTGGGCTCAATGAGGTGAGCTCCGAGGCTGTCAGGGGACAGCGTGAGGCAGGGCCAAGGCGCTGCTTGAGTGGAATGTGGGAGGAGGAAGTGGGGGTGCACGTAGGCTCTCACTTGGAACAGGCTGAGTCTTGGGGCTTCTTCTGTACTAGGTCAGATGGAGGATCAGTAAGACCCACTTCTTCCAGTACACAGAGGCCTGGAGTGGCAGGGACTCCCACCAGGCACGCCACTCTGTGCTTACATCAGCCTTCATTTATTTCCCAGTGGATAACCATTAGGCTTTTTCATCTGTTTGTTTTTATTATCGAAATATTGCTAAGAAAAATATTTTTCAGTTAAATTTGCACACAGAAGATTCCTTATCAGCCCAAATATAATGGGACACTTTTTGTTACGTGCACTCCCATAAACACTGATGTGTGGGTCCCGAAGTGTTTGTGTACATATCCCCACTATGCAGGTGTTAACACCAAGGAAGCAGTTTTTCTTTTCCTACGCCAGTGCCAACTCTAGATGTCCTCTAGTTTTTGCCACTTAGCTCCAAGCAAAGTGGAGTTTTATTTCACTTTGCTTTGATCTCACTTTTTTCTCAATTTGTAATGTTAAAAATTTGGTTGTTCCTTGACCAGCACATTGACCCATGTGCAAATTGCTTTCAATGTATTTTGCATATTTAACCTTTATATTGTTTTCTAAGTGGTGTGATTTGTTGAATATTCTATATGTGAGGCCTCTGTAAAACACTCTGTATGTGTATTTTTTCAAGTCTGTTTCATGTTAATCATCTTTATTATTCATCTGTGCTACTTAGCATCTCCTTCCTGTTTTCCACTTTGATGCGGTTCAACCAAGGATCCTGCTCTTTATCATTGCAACTTTTTACTCTCTTAAGAAATTCTTCAGTACCCCACATCGTAAAGGTGTCCTCATCACATTTCCTTCTTCTGCCTCCACTTGTTATACAGGGCTTTATCTTCACAGAGGGATGCCATGACGTATAGCCCAGATTCTCCCTGAAGGACAAACTCCCAGCTGCTGGAATTCTCCTCCTGAACCCTACTGCTCAGTCTCTCACTCAAAACTAAGAGATTATTCAGCCAAAGGGAGCTGTCATTTTCAAGATTCAGTTCTCTCTTCGAAGAAATCTTTGTATGCAGTAACTGGTTTATGTGAGAAGACAAAAGTCAGGCTCCCAACTCAAGTTTGGGACTTCTCTGAGAAGCTAACCCACGGTGCTACATCCCAGCTCCTCCAGTATGATTTTAACGTGGCATTTATTTTTGTGTAGTATTTTATAGGGATTTAATATTATCTTATTCCATACTGAAAACTTAGCATTTCAATAACATTTACTGAAAAGCAACTCACTGATTTGGGTAATGGTAACACTATTATACAAACAATTCTAAACACATGCTTTCTTTATTCTATTGACCTATTTGTTTACTCCTGAATTAATGCCAAATTATCTTAATTATATCTTTAAAATAAAATTATAGGTGAAGGTAGATCTCTTTTTGTTGATTTGCCTTGTATATTCTCAGACTGTTATTATGCCATAAAATTTTAAATCCTGGTTTCATTGTTTATAAAACTGTTTGGGATCAAATTATGGCTAAATGGAGTCTAATATGTTGATGTGATAAAATTCACTGTGATGTGAATGTACACACAGGTGAATTCCTTTTCGGCACATTGCTCCTTCATTTTTTGGTCTTTTTTCATACCTTTTCTTACTTTAATATTACCAGGCATTAGCAGTGCCATTTCTTTTTCTTTCTCTTGAGACTCATCTCCTTCCTTGGGGATTCCAGCCCAACCTTTACCCTGGGTACCCTCTACTCTCTGGCTATCCCACTTTTTGCCTTAGTGAAAAGCAGACAAATTCATGAGGACCTTAAAGTCTCCGAGAGCCTGGTGATAAAGGATACCAAAGGGAACTTCAGTGCAATTCGCAGTCACGATCTCTGCCTTCTTCACCCCTTCCTAGTGAGATGGGAAGCAGGTGCACCAAAGGGACACCCAGGACTTGAAGGCAGATTTATTTATGATCAGGCCCTGATCTCTGGTGGTCTAGAGCTTATTAGGATAAGCAAGCAGGAAGTGCAGAGGCAGAATGGCTTGTCAGTTGGGGGTTGGTTGATACAATGTGCATCACAGGGACCGGCCATTTCTAACAGATGGGAGCAACAGGAACTAGAACAGGAATCATGACCTGGGCAACTAAGCCACTGAAGTTGCTGGCTAGGAGGAGCACTTCCCATTATACTAGCAGCTGCATTGTGTGAAAAGGAGCTATGCTGCCTTGCCTTCATCCTGGGCTTCAGATATTTTGCTGTATTGATGTGGCAGCAACTCAATTTTGTTTTTCAAAAATATTTACTGAGCAGAGAAAAACCAAATAGTTGTCACCTGCAATAAAATGAAAGATTTCTTGACAGAACATGGTTCCTGTGTAATTTTAGAGAGGCCGAGAGTGTCTAGAATTTAGTAATCTGTGTGGAGAAGCCACTCCTTAGCTCTGTCTGGCAATAAAACCTCAAAGGAGTGGACACCGGCAGTTAGAAAGAAGGGTGGAGGCTGCAGGAAGGAAGGCTCTTTTCATTTTTATGCTTCACTGTCACAGACTTGTGGACACTGGTGCTGCTCGGTGTGGGATTTTCTGTGCCATCTGATGAGGCAACTCATGAGCTTTTCCCATGCCCTGACACAGAGGACATTTTATTACATCTTCCTTGAGGTGTCGAAATCTAGGATTTGAAATCCATGCCTGTGAAAGTCCTGTCTAGTTTTTTGGATGCTACTTTTGATTATGAAAGAGTAAAAAGATTTGCAAAGTGATTAGTTTCATCCCAACAGCTGAACACACATCTGTCTTTTCATAGGTAACATCTCTTTCCAAGATGGCGGACACTTGTGAGTGCCTGACTGTGATTCCAGAAAGAATGGGAACAAATGAGGAGAGGCTGTCATTTGATTGTCCCAGATTTCATCCTACAAGCAGTCACTGGGCCATGGCACAGAAACAGCAACCAAGAGCCTTGCTGAAGTGGGACACCTGTGGGGACTGCAGCAGAAAGTGCCACTTATTAGAAGCCTCAAAAATGAATAATGGAAACAAATGAGACTTAAAACAGAAAGAATACATCATCAGTGACCTGTGAAATTATTAAAAAATTTAATGACAGGAATAATATATTTGAAGACAAAGTAACCAAAATCTTTCCAAGTTTCAGGGAAAGTTACAATTCATAATTCCAAAAATCTCAATTTACCATAGACAGGTTAAACAAGAGAAAAACAAAACACAAAAAGCCATAAGGTAATGAAATTTTTGGAAATGAGTAATAAAGAGAACATTAAAAGTAGTCAGTGGAAAAGTAAAAAATGTAAATAGCTGCTCACTGATCCTAAGAAAATATACAAATCAAGACAGTGATGTTGCCCCTTTGAAGTGTTGAAAGAAAAAAGTGTTTATCTTAGATTTTTTTCCAAGCAAGAATAATACTCAAAAGTAAATGTGAATTAAAGGCATTTCACATTAATAAATACTAACAGGATTTTTCTTAGCTTATTTGCATTATATGCAATGTTTTAAAAAAAACATTTTTAGACAGGAAGAAAATGATACAAGCTGGAGCCCTGTATTTGCCAAAGAAATGTGTATCAATGGGAAGGCAATTGTGAGGGAAATACAATACATATTTTAAATGGTCTTGAAGTATTAAAACATTGTTTAAAGGGTGTATGCAGGCTGGAAAGCTGAATCTACAGCCATGCCCCAGAATGGAGATTTTTGAATTATGACTTCTGTACCACGGATACTGTTTGGACCTCCATGAGAAAATGAGAAATGAGCAAAATCTAGAGGTTTGTATTCATGTCGAAGAAATAGAAGAGCCTGAAAAATAAGGTCTTCCATAAACACAATGCATACACAACAGGTCCATCAGAAAGCTTGCAAAGAGAACAGTGCACGAAGAACACTGGTGAAGACCCGCAGGGAGCCGTCCTGCCCGTGCACTGGGCAGGCAGGCGCAGCCCCGAGCTGTTGCATGTTTTGTGACTGAACAGAAATGGAAGGAGAAGCCCAGGAAGTGGGAAGTCCATGTGCAAGGTCCATGCCTGGGAAAAAAAGAGGTATTAAAAGCATTCATGCAGTTTAGATTTTTAAAATAAGTAATATTAGGGGAAAATAGTAACATTTGATTTTATAATATTTAGCATCCTGTGAAATAAAATATGTGGCCATGAGAGTACAATGGGGAAATGCAAGTATGTGACTACAGAGGTTCTTTAATAACATGTTGTTTACATGACTTATTTAAAGCTACAGCATGTTAAATGAGGGTTGTATTACAACCTGGCATCAAACAGTAAAAAAGAATCAACAAAAAAGGAAAGAAAATTAAGCAATACAGCAAAAGGCTTATAATAATAAAAATGGCTTAAAAAATCCCAGTGCCACCATTTTTTAAAAATATAGGCTTGAGTTGTTTGTAGAAAAACAGATGCACCTCGAGACCACAATGTTTAGTGAAATAAATCAGACACACAAGTTTATCTCACATGGTTTCTCTCATATGAAGGCCCCAAAATATAAATAAAGAGCAAAATGAAAGATAATAAGATATAGGGAGAGATAAATCATTTGCAGAAGGGAAGGAAGAGGACTAAGAACTGGAGGAGAGGGTATGGAAAAGCATTAAGAAGTGTATGCACATGGACCAGCCAAGGTCCATGTGCTGCAAACATGCATTAGTAGAAAAAAAATAAACATTGAAAAGAAAAAGCAGGCAAGGAGTAAAGGAGGTGCAAGAATAAATGAGACTAATAGAAAAAAAATCTGTAAGATAGTAGTATATTAGCAAGAGTTTTCCAAAGAAACAGAATCAACGGAAGGCAGGAAGGAAGAAAAGAGGGAAGGAGTGAGGGAGGAACAGTGGGAGGGAGGACAGAGACAGAGACGAAGAGAAAGAGAAAGACAGAGACTGATTTTTCTAAGCAATTGGGTAATTTGATTGTGGGGCTAGCAAGTCCAGATTAGTAGAGCAGCTATCAAACTGGAAATTCTTATTTATTTATTTATTTTAAAGAGAATTTTAAAAGCCGCAATAAAAATAATACAGAATTTCACAGACTCAAAGAACTGATGTTGTAGCTCAAGTCCAAGAAAAGTCTGGAGGACTCCCTCTCGGGAGATCTTGGTCCATGTTCTCTTGAGTAAGGCCACCCAGATTTTGGAGGTGATCTGTTTCACTTAAACTTTATGGCTAAAGATTAATTTTATCTTAAGTATATCTTTATAGAGACATTTAGGGCAGCATTTGATCAAATCTCTGGGTGCTATGTTTTAGCCATGTTGACACACAACACTGTCACAGATAGATTTAGTGAAGTCAATCACGAATAATAACTCTGTTGACATTTAAACTGGCTGACTACTCGCAGAGAAGGGAAAGTATCAAACTGAAAAAAAAAAGTCCAACTCAATAAATTATATGTGTAGGTCACAAAATATAAAGAAACAGAGAAGCTAGGAGTAAAAAGAGATGAAGAAGTGCCACGAAACCACTATCAATAAGACAGCAGAAGCAATGACATCAATTTTAGATAAGGTAGGCTTTCCAGTGGGGAATAGTCTCAGAAATAAAGAGCAAGGAGTCTCTATCACACTTTACAAAAGGCACAAAAAATTCTAAGTTCATATGCACCTAAAACAAAGCAGTGATATGCACAAAGCAGAGAGAGAGAGAGAGAAATGGACAGACCCACACATACCATTAGAGATTAAATACTTTTCTGTCTGTAAGTGACAGAGTGAGGGGACAGATGATCAACAATCATGCAGAACACTTGAACAACACCATAAATCACCTGAACAGAAAGATGCATTATGACTTTGTGGTGGTGCAAACAGCATGGGCTTCAACACATCAGGATTATACACTGTGATTTTGCCTTCTACCAACATCAAGCTTTTTTTGATTTTTGTGGATCATTTGTAGAATCCTCACGTGTTAAGGGCTGTGCATTTCAGACTCAAGTCAACAAATGTGACAGCTTTAAAAAGCACAAAGATAAGAATATGGGAACATGAAATATATCTCATTTGGAATGCTACTTGCATCTTCCTTTGATATTCATGTTTATTTGCTTTAATTTGGATTATCTCTCCAGTGTCTAATACTTAGTTCTTCATTTCATGATTATCAGAGGTGTGGTGTGCACAGTAACAAGATTAAAGGACAAAGTTATTTATGAACAAAATTAAAATTTAAACC